TGCAGCGGTAGCCTTCATATGCAGCAAACAGTAGTACTCATATTCTTGGGGTTACTTGGAAAATGACAAATTAAGTTTGATTGAAAAACAAAGAAAAGGAAAAGTTTGTGCAGTGATAAGGACTAACAATAATAAGGATCTGTCATATATGTGCAGAGATCAAGAATAAAAATGTAAAAGAATGAAATGATAACATTAATAATGCTCAAGTCAGTGCTCTACAGGAACAGCAGTAACAGATTTAACAAGGAAGATTACAAAGATGCTCGTATTCATTAAATTGTGTGGACTGATTCTTGTGGATTCCTTAAAATTCAGATGACTTCATTGTTTTTTTGATCCACTTGAGTTGTTTTTTGGAGAGAAATGAGAAGACTGCAGGTCCATTTATCTCGCCACACACTACAGGTCCAAAAGAAGTGACTCCAACCAGCTCTTTATTGCACAGCAGTGGCCCTCCTGAATCCCCCTGCAGCAAGAACAAATGTTTGAAATTTTTGGGGGGTGTTTTAACTAATCTGGAGATTTAAAAAAGCCAAAAAGGTCTTGCGCTTTATTGCAATTTACAATTTCATATTACAACGCAACATACTAATATATACTTACATTACATGTGCTAGCCTTAGCGTTTCCATTTGAACCAGCACATATCATGTCACTGGTAATAACAGGGTTGTGGTTGTAATAACCACGAGAGTTGCACTTCTTTCTGTCAATCACAGTCACATTGACAGACAACAAGACATCCGACCTATTCTTCTTTTCAGTTTTTCCCCATCCAGCCACCAGACAGTTGCTGCCAGCTGCAGGGTCTTTGAGAGTTTTGCCCAGCTTGAGAAATGTCACTGTTTTGGTTTCCATCACTGGATTGTTAAGCTGAAAAAAAGAAGCTTTGCATATTGATAATGATTATCTATGTATTATGTTTATATAGTTTGCTATAAAGTAAGTAAATAAGACAGAACATAACAGCAGGGTGCATACATGGAACGCCCTAACTAAGCCGCTGGCTTAATATACAGGAATATTTGTGCTGAGTATGGCCTGGATGTCCCAAGGTCAAAAAGGAATACACCCCCTAGGGTGGTTAAGAATGACCAAGCTAAGATCCTGTGGGACTAAGTAAAGAAAGAAGGCTGTAGTGATAGATGTAGCTATATCAAGTGATAGCAACATCAGGAAGAAGGAACATGGGAAGCTTGGGAAATACCAAGGGCCGAGAGAGGAACTACAGAAGATGTGGAGGTTGATTCAAAAGTTGTCCATGAGGTAATTGGAGCACTTGGAGCAGCTCACCCCCAAACTAGGTTACACTTCCTACAAGTGTCATTATTACTAAAACTAGTAGTGTGGCACACTAAGCAGGAAAGTGCGAGAGGAACAGGGGATAAAGCATGATGCTAGCAACATGGCTGAGAGCTAAGATAGAAAATCCCTAAAGATAAAATTAATCAATACTTTAAATATAATTAGCTGGTAATTTCAACAGTGAGTGTAGTGTCGTGATACTGGACTGCAGTGAGCCAACATCAAATGAGAGTCAGTTAATAAACAGATTGCT